CATTAAATACGCACTACAATGACAATAGTTTAAAGCGATTTGAAGCATGTTTTATTTTTTTGGGAGGGGGGGGCAGAGCTTTGTGACGTCATATTTGAGGGGGGGTCTGACTTTTTGTGACGCCGTGCGACGAAGGGGGGGGGGTCAAAAATCGTCCAAAACCGCGTGACGTCATTTATGTACGGCCCCAAAGCTCACTCATACGAGGAGATTCAACGCTCCGAGAACCGCACAGACGGCTTCACGAATCCATTCAGTCTGCATAACGAGAAACGCCGCGTGTCCATGAGTCATCACGCAGGAGTTTCGAAGCAAATTTGGGTTGCGAGTCACGCAGTTAGACGCGCATCCACATTGTATTGAATGGCTTGGGACAGATTACCACAGACCCATCGACTCCCAGAGATCGATAGACTAATACGGACTTACACAGCGGCCGATTCGTGCCTTTCTCTCGACATGCGTCGCCCCCTCCCCCCTCCCTGTCTCCGCGCAGCATCTGGATATGCGGTCACATCTATGCGTATTATAAATTCGGAACGTCCGCTATTCGGCGTCTAGTGGCCACGTGAACCCCTCCCAATGACTTACGCCACACGTTATGAAGTATCGATTTGGTTTGCTCACACAAGCGGATCGATGCATGTTACCGCGAGCTGAAGAACGTTACGGGTCTAGACATTCGTGGATGCACGCTGTGAATGTGCTTTGGAAACCTCTTGATTAAGCGTGTGGCATTTGCTGGTGGGCGTTGCGATTTTCTGTAGTACACAACGGATCCAGGAGGTGGTGATCACACGCAGTGGAAAAATAATACTAAGTTAACATTAAGTACCGTACCAAGTAACATGACAAACAATAAGCACCCTTCCCATTTCTGTCCCCGACACATGCAAAAAGTAAAATATGTTGTTGTTTTTTTACAGATCTTATAAGCCACATCTTATCAGCCAAACGGCCTCCTAGGAGTAAATTATTTCAGCAGCATTGATTCAATACACGCACACTCTGGACCGGTGTTCCAAATTCAGTGTCTCAATCTAGATCTGAAGTTTTCGTGACTGCAGGGATCCATACTCTTTGGTTCTTTCGGTAAAGTCACTTTGGTATATAAAAAAAATCACGACGTTTCGGGCGCAACACAAGCGTCCGTCATAAGGTGGGACAACCACAGCAAGAAACATTGTTTCTTGACTTTACCGAAAGAACCAAAGAGTATATTCAGTGTCTCACCAGCAGATGCAGCCTTTGGTCAAAGAGAATGCTCGTGCAGTGCCGGTTGTCCATATCCAAGAGTCCTCTCTGCTAAATACCGCAGTGTACGTCTTGATTCTTGAGTGGGCGCATTCTGACAAGTTCAACGATTTCGTACACAACATTTCGGACAATTTACGGATGTGGGTAATCGTTATTACAACCTTGATAATCCCCCCCCCCCGCCGCTTGGGCATAATATCTCAACCAATCAGGAGTGCAATTCGACCCTTTGTCAATCCACTGCTGGATGTTGAGCCTCCACACGCCCAGGGCGTCTGTCAATCTGACCAGCGAGTGTTGATGAAAGCGAGGAGCACAGAGTACACGGCAACAGTGGCTTTTGCGACACCATCCTATATGCCGTCCACCACGTAGTCCCGGCAGCAGCCTATAACAACCTGCTGTGCATGGCTAATCACCCATCCAAAGCTCAACCTTGCGTTGAGATTCCCAATTCTGGATAGAGCACATTACGAATGATAAAGGAAACTATATATTGTTTTTTATTTTGCTAGATAAGGCCCACTGAGCTACGTAGCTCTTTCTTTTCAGAAGCGACCTGGCGATCACAAATGACAGCTCAACGAAGTGGCGCATCGTGTGGAAATGTATAGCAGTCAAATTCTCTAAACGCCTGATGTGGATTCTCAATGTGGAGGGAAAACCCGGAGGAACCGGAGATAAAAACCCACGCGACCACAAACTCCAAATATACAGCAGGGGTCAGGGTCGATTTGGTCAGTCCTCATGCTCTTCTGCCATGGAAAGAGCAGAAAAAATATCAAGGTTAGATGGAGTTCAGACATCCAGTCGAGAACGTTATCGGATGCAGAGCTAACTTCGGATCGTTGAAGGTGTGTTCGCTGTTCCATTGCGTCAAGTTCGCCTGTTACTGCCCGGATTGTCGGTTATCGATTTACCTACCACTGCACCTCAACACAAATAGGGCAACGTGGGTGTGTGTGCGCGCGCGCGTATTGTGAACCCGTACTTTAAAGTAATGCCATCAATGTTGGGTGCCTTTTGAAGCGCGCTCTCAAAGCAATTTTGCCTCTTGCAAAAGTAAAAAGTTCACCGCGTGCCACAGCACCTGCGACGGTGCTTTATAAAAATGCATAAAATTTGGCGACGAAATTGCCCATATTTTGCGCATTCAGCGACATGAATAAACGGTTGAATTTCCATAACAAACCAAAAAGTATATTCGTGGTTCTTTCGGTAAAGTCACGTAGAAGGGAAACAATAAAATAATAAAAATATAAAACTATAAAATTCTCACGACGTTTCGACTGCAACACAAGCAATCATCATCAGGTGTGAAAACCACAGCAACAAAATTTGAAAAAAAGTGGCGGGTTTTTTTAACGTTAGCACCACGGAGAGCGATTTGGCAGTTATTCAGATGGACGAGTCCATCTATGTTCGGAAAAGAGGAGGGGGGAGATGAATATAATGGGTGCGGTCTGAAAGACACGGTAAGCGTGAACAATCAATTAAGGCCCGACATGGTGTATGAAATCCTTCCAATGATTGCTAAGCCAGAATCCATCTCCTCGGTTGAAATTGTCTCTGTTTCTGTATATGTGGATAGCCTCATGAACGAATCTTTCATGGTAGCCAGATGGCTTGCAAAGAACCTCTGTCTTGGAGAAGTCAATGTCATGTGAGCCTACTGAATTATAAGAGTGATCTGCCACGGCCGAGGTGTTGGTCCTACCATGTTTTAGGTCTGCTTTGTGTTCACGAATGCGGTCCGAGACATGTCGTTTGGTTTCTCCAATGTAACTACTACCACAGAGGCAACTTAGTTTGTAGACGCCAGGGTACTGTATGTCCAGAATCACATCTTTTACAGACGGAACCAGATCACGGATTTTATGTAATGTGTTGAATCGGACCTGGATCTTGTGTTTATTCAAGATTTAGGAGATCTTTTTTGTGATCCCCGCAATGTAGGGTAAAGTGATGGTTTTGAAAGGCTCCTCAAGTGGGTCCTTCTTCATGGTTGGAGTGATAGCTTTGCGGATTGTGTAGTCGGAGTAACCATTAGCCTTAAGAGCTTGGTGTACGTGCTTGAGTTCACTGGCTATGTGTTCCTGGTCGGATATGCATTGGGCTCTATGGTGCAGAGTCTTGATGAGGGGATTATTCTGGGATGGATGGTGGTGGGAATCCAGTTTCAGGTAAGCATCCGTATGGGTAGCTTTCCTGTAGACAGAGTGGCTTATTAAACCATCAGGTCTCTTTTTTATTAGGACATCCAAAAAAGGTAGCTTGCCATCTTTTTCGACTTCCATGGTAAATCTGATGGCTGGGTGTATGGAATTGATGTGGTCGAGGAATTGGTCTAGCACAGGCCAGCCATGTGGCCAGATTACAAAAGTGTCATCCACGTACCTCTTCCATAAGGTTGGGCGCAGAGTGGCAGTCTGGATGGCGTCAGTCTCAAATTTATCAATGAAAATGTTGGCTACAACCGGAGATAGGGGGGAGCTCATTGGGGTGCCCTCAGTTTGTTTGTAGAAAGTTCCATTCCAAGTGAAGTATGTATTGGTTAAGCAGTGTCTCACCAAGGGGGGTACCTCAGTGTTTAGTCCTTGATGAACCAAGTCTTCAATGATTGCGATGGTGTTAGGTACAGGAACTTTGGTGAATAAGGAAACTACATCAAAACTGACAAGCAGGTCGTCTGGGGACAGGGAAATACCCGTGATTGTCGATACCAGGTGAGAATTTTGTACCGCAGGTGTTTTTTTCCAAAGGCCGCAGGATTTCAGACAGAAAACGAGAGTTTGTAGGTGAGGGAGTTGATAGTAGAGACGATGGGACGAAAGGGTGTATCTACTTTATGTATTTTTGGTAAGCCGTAAAATCTTGGTGGCCTGGCAGCAGGTTTCAACGAGAACTGTTTTGTTTGATCAATTAATGCGGTTGAATCAGAAATGATTTTGTTAGTTTATATGACGAGGCTGTTGGTGGGATCTCTTTTTATGAAAGCCTCCCCCAAGCCACCACCACCCCACAATCGTGCACTAACAATCCACCCAGCACCTGCACACGAATTGATTTCAACGATCCATCTTGTGGTTGGACTCTCAAACTTGATTTCTTGCATGCAAGACCATCATGATTGACTATTGTTCATGTGCCCTGCTTAAGCAGTTTTCTTTTCAGGTTTCGATGTTATCTTATATTCTCGTGTTCTAGTCTCCCATTGAGATTCCAAATTTAAGTTGATAGAAATGTTTGCCCAAAAATTTGTACGCCATTCTGCCCTTGCCCGTGATGTTTGACCATATTTAAGAAAACACACAAAGGCACGTCACCCCTGCGTGCTCAGTTGTTGAGTATGGAGCAGCACGTGGCAATGCTTCATCTCTGCACCTGCGGGAAACTTGGGAGCCCCTGCATTGAGTACTGCAGTGCATCGTGGCAGTGTGCGGATGGCCTTGTAACTCCTGCCAACACCCCCCCCCCCCCCCCCTCAGTATTGAACTCACGTGGAGTCCCGGGACAAGTGTTCTCTTGCTCGTTTTGAATGTGTTTTGTATATACATTAGTTAGCTAGGATACTAGATCTGCGAAAGGGTGTGAAGGGATCTGAACATAACCACCTCCCCTCTGCAGATTCTCTGCATTACCTTTTCTCAGAACCAATCTCTTGTGGAGAGCAGGATTGGGTGCACAACCGTTATAATGTAGTGTTTATTTCCCAGTTAATGGCATTGACAGCACAAACAGGCTTTCGTGGTACAATTTATTTTGTAAACTAAAAAATGCACACATTAACAGCTGATAATTAATCGTACACGCACTGTACAAGAGTGTAAAAAATAAGACGAAATTGTAAAACATTACGTTTATTAAAAATGATGTAGTATGAAACATTAAAACATGTGTCCACAAATACGTTGCATCGAGTGTGAAAACGAGGGCGCAAATACAAACCATGGCAGGCATGTGTCAGGATTGCATTCTCTGTCACATCGGCATTCTCAAAATCTAAACTAAGACTCCGTGCGTTCGTCCGTCTGCTGCTCCACCACCCCACCTCCCACCTTTTTCAGTCAGGACCATCAGTTAGAGGGACTCGCGCAATCATTCGCCACAAATGTGCCATGATATTCCAAGTTGGAAATCGGCAAGCGAGCCAGTGTGCTCCACGCGGGAAACCTGGGTGGTCGTGCCACCGTGAAGTCAGGCTTGCGGAAGGTTCGTTGGCGGCTCAATCAATGACGCCATCTGATACCTTGAAACACACACGCAGTAGATGTGTTTGGTCACATGGCTCATCTTCACAAGTGTGGGTAGTGTGCACATTTTCACTTTTTGTACCTTAGTAGCATTGCAACCACTTTTTTGTTGACATTACTATTTTAGGATCTGATTTCATTTCATTTCAAGGTATTACGATTTAAGGTAAGAAACGTGTTTGCTTAGACGCATGAAAATCAAACATGCCCATGGCAAGCCTCTCATACGTAAAAATTAAAGCTAGAAATAGCGACTAAAATAAGAGATGTATCTATAAATTATTGCATTGAGAAAGCATACAATTTGCTAATAATTTGCAAATACGACATTTTAATGGCATTCACGTTATCAATGCCATCAATTATCTTTACCATGTCAGGAACTGTGCACTGCTGCGAGTTTCCTGTGTTTCCGAGGCCTAATGACAGTCGTCTGCCCATTTAAAATAGGTGCCTGATGAGTATTCTCACTTCCAAACATTCACTCGTTTTTATAATCATTAATCCACGATTCGCTTTGGTTTACAAAACACTGTTGAACGCTCCAAATAAACTGGTAACTTCGCCCTCTTAAATCCACATCACGCCACCACCTCGCCCCCCTCCCCCAAAACAAAGGGGCGCTTACAGTCAAAAAGCGCCGACAACACGAAATCTCGGCACATGCACACCAGAGCCACTCACTTGGAGCTCTTGTACTTCTCGCGGATAGACTGCTGCGCATGCGTCGCAGCCCCGACAAACGTCTGGTGCAGGTGCGCCAAGCACGGCCTGATGTCCTCCAGTGTGTATCCTGTGAACTCGGCCAGGGTGCTGGGCTGTGACACAAAGGGGGGCGGGGGGGGCGGGCACACAACAAACGCGACGGCGGTCAACCGGCAACAGTCACAGCAGCCCTTGCTCGCGACGATCGGCGAGCATCCCATTTTCACGCACTGCACGTCGTGTACAGAGGGGCCTCCCCGCCGCCTATACCCGTGTGGGATGCCGGGGGGTTTATTTTACCTTTGCCATGCTGGCAAGTACAAGTTGAAGGTGCCCATGATGGACGCGGAAGCATAGAAGTACACAATGGATTTGTTGCACGGTCCTCACTGCTCACAAGGGCAGCCCCAAAAATCCCCGGGCCAACCGATAATGACCGCGCGCCTTAAACTTTAGTTGGCAGACTTTTATTGGAACTCTACTTTATAATAACTTCAGGAAATTGAGGAATTTAAGAGGACCGCCCTTAGGATCAATTACCAAAAAAATCGTACATACCTGTCATAAGTCACAGATTTTAATGTATGAGAGGGTAGCTGGGTCTTTAAAGGCCAGACAATGGGGGGCAGCTTGAATATTGCACCTACAAATTAGGGCAAGGAAAAATCGAACGACAACATTCCTGCTGCAGTCATTTCATCCTGTCCTCACCCACAAGAGGCCAGAGATGGTGTAGTTGGCCAGTGTGAATGCAGCTGCAGCCAGCAGTGAAGGGAGGTACTGCAGGTAGGGATCCACCTCCAGCAAGCTCATCTCTGACAGGTACTGCAGGACGCACAACGCCAGCGACAATTTACATTTTGCTTTTGTGCACAAAATAAGCGAATAAATTAACCAGACTGAAATGACCTAATGTAATTCTGCTTGTTAGTGCACCACAACATCTAACAAACGTGTGCAGAGAAAGAGTGATATAATCCCGAGTTCACCCTTTACCAAGACTTGAACTCACAACTTTCTGATCTACTACACATGGCATCACTTCGTCATCCAGCACTACCCATATTGGAAGCAGAACCCTTAATAAAAGATATAAACTCTTACAAATATTTCCTAGACAGGTTATTTATATAACACTACTATAAATATTATTGATTTATTGTAACAGGTTAACACTCGGCTTATAACTTGACAACCTAAAGAAGTACGTGGATAAGCAACTAATCGCATGTTTAAGCGACATTTGTTTTTTTCTGAGGACATAACTCATCTAGAGTGGGCAGACTTTTATTGGATTAATTCGTTTCAATTACTTACAACTGTTTATAGTTCACTTTGACCACGCAAAAATGTGTGCTGGATTAAAAATCGTGAGCAGGACATTTACCATTTATGAGTAACAGGGATCATTACAGGCAACAATCGGCAAGTCTCAATCACAAAACGAAATGCTAGCAAGATTTGGGGTAAGGCCATCACACCCCGCTCTTAATTCAAGGACCAAAAACAGGACAGGGCCATGTACACCGTAAACAACCGAGCGGCAAAACAGCACCCACAGGTGACGTATAAAACTAGCGATGAACACCAAATGTCTCGACATTTGGGTCGTGACGGCGCTTGAGAAGCGAATTAAGAGAAACCCCCAAGGTGCTCACCATGGAGAGGTTTCTTGTGCGACAGCAGGCTCCGCCGAGCTTCAGGTACTGTGTGAGGAACTGCATGATGGTGGGACTGGCCACCTCGAAGGACAGCACCCTGAGGATGAGGTGCTCCATGCGCAGCACCTGCTGCTTGGTGTAGGTGTCATCGGTGATGAACACAAACTCGCTCACCTCAGGTGGGTAGATCTCCTCAAATTTTCTGCAAGGTAGAAGAAGACGCTTAGAACCTTTGGCGATTACTTAGGGGTCAATACAAGTGATAATCAGCCATGAGATAAAGCTGCTAATGGGTCCCCCATAATGTAAAGGGCATGCCCTCTAAATGAAGCTCCCAAAGACAAATGCAAGCAGTGAACATTGATGACCATACTGTCCTGATGTGTGCTAATAAGAATGAAACCAGTTCACAGTTTGTCTTCCTCACTGACATGTCAGTCATATTTACTCAATTTATTCATTGGAGACTGAAGATAAGATGGCCACAATGCAGTTCTTCTGAATTGGTTTCGGGAATGTGTAAGGCTTCGAGCTCTTTCACACGCGATGCACATCTTTGTCTAAGTTAATTATTTGAAGTCCTCAGAAATTCAAAGCACCTCCTATCACGTCAACAATTCCAAAGCCCCGCTGTGCCCGTTTGGCAAGGTTGGATACGTACGGTGCAAAATAATTTCAACATACATACACAAGGGGTACGGCAGCACTGGCCTGAGTGTGCATTAGTCTGCCAGTAGGGAGCAGCAACAAGAAAAAACAAGGTTAGCACACTGAAAATTCTGAATTTGTATCCTACATTTCCCCGAGCTAAGACAACCGCCCCATGACTCCCCCCTGTTCATCTGTTGGTATGCATTGAGGGTTTAACGATGCATTAATTAAACTAATAGTGATTCTTAAGCTCAGAAAAAAACATCAAATCAGGTGTGTAGGAATTAACGCATTTCAATGCCCGTGTTTTGTCTAACAGCTACACTTGACCCCTACAAGCTATTAATAGCCAGTACATTTGCCAATGTTAAAATAATCGTGACGCTGAATGGGGGAAATTTATATAATTGCCATGAACAGTTAATTATTACACCAAATATGGCAACCCAATGAATGTGTAAATCAATAAACATCCTAACCAACCAATTCAATGGTTCTTTAACCAGGCAGAGCATTTTGAGCGTCATTAGGACTTTTTAATTAGTATCCTGGTTGTCGTTATATACTTCATTTTTACTTGGTAAATTGTTAAATTCAGGCCTTTAAAATCCCCATGTTTCATTTTTATCGTACTTTCATGCCTATGATGCACTGCCGTAATGTGTTTACATGCGCAATGTGACAAGCGGCGTGAGTCCAGAGCTGCATTTTAATTAATATCCTTTGTAGTCGCACACAGCTATTACACGGGAATTTGAACCGTTCCTCTAGCCAATCCTGCTGAATCACGCTTTCATTTAGATTTCCCCCGATTGCCTCCCAAAATCCCTTTCATCCCCTTTCTGCACCCTCCTCATGTCCCACCCACAAACCGTCTACAGACACTCCTGTGAAGCACAGGCTACCAAATGTGTAAGGCGTGAGCTCTCAACGCTTCTCCACAACTCACAAAAAACATGGAATATATGCAACTACTTATGGACGTGCTCACATTAGGGTCACAGCACTACATTATAAAAACATTTGATCCTAATTAATGGAAGGAACGCAAAAACTCGGTAAAAGGAATAGTAGGGCATCCAATGATTCACCCAAATCAGGAAATGATGAATTGTCACAATTCAGGGTCCCGTCCTTGTAAAGGTCTGGAAAATTACTTTTTCCATTAGCCTAACCGTAAATATCGTAAACACAGCACCGTTTGTACATATTGTGACCATAGGATAGATTGTAATGAATCGTTGTAATTGATCGTCAATGGATTCTGATCGGCGTAAAAAATTGTCACGTGCAACACGGGAGGGCCCTCTGAGCCACAAAGGTTAGAGAGCGGGCACACTTACGCGGCGAGGTACATCGCGGCTGTGCCGACGAGTTGCAGTTTGCCACGAAGCACCGACATGGAGGAGAGGAAGCGGTCGATGTAGTTGACGGCGAGGTAGAGCGTCTCGCTGTGCAATTTGTACTCCTCCACCACCTCAACCAACCAGTCCACCAGGATGGAGCGCATGCTGGTCGTGATGTCTGGCTGCTTCCGCATGTAGCCGGCCTTCGGTTTGCAGCGCAGCTGTAGGCAGAGAACAGCGCAAAACAAAAAGTCAAAATTGTTTCTAAATTTAAATAACCAACTTTGGAGTAGACCTTTAAAAGTGATCACATTTGGACTCTAGGAGTGAGATGGTCCGGTGGCTCAGAGGTCAGTGCACCAAACTGACACTGCTGAAATCCAGGGTTCATATTCTGGTAGTTGCCCGTAAGCAAACCGGGTTTAGGTGTAGCAAGTAGACATCTCAGTTTGGTCACAAATGAATTGCACAAAAGAAACACCACACAAAACTTGGTTCTACACTATAATGTGGTCAAATTCCGGCTCTGAGAATTAAAAGGTAAAATGTCACTTTAAATATCATTCGTTTTGTTTTCTCTTTCAGCCAACTGTTCTCACATGACCTCTGTAATTACTAATAGCTATATTCACAACGATATATTTGCCGGATTCAATTTCCAAGGGTTAACAGTTTTTTCACTGGTATTCCATGCAAATAAGATATCAATCGCAGGATATGCGAAAATGTGCACGACTCAATGTGGCCAAGAGTCAACTAAAGTGACCCCTGGCCACACTCACTAGAAGGTGAACTGCTTTCTGCGAGAATATCAAAATTCAGAGACTCCTGATGCGACACCAATATAGCACGAACTGTAGCATTGAGTTATAAGAGCAAAATGTTAGCCCAGGCTTGTCCACCGCTATGTATAGCACATCTCTCTCGCTCTTCTAATAAATGGTAGCGTTTTACATAAAGGCTTAATCACCTGAATTTAATGCAGCTCGATGAACCCCCTAACCAATGCCAACAAACCGTCACACACACACACACATCAGCGACCCGCACCTCCGCTTTCTGCAGGTACTGGTAGATCTCCTTGCCGTACGTCCCCAAAACGAGGTCGTCCAACGTCGGCGAGTCTGGGCTCTCAGTGGAAGAGGAGTCGAGGACCATTGGGGAACCTGCGACACCAAGGCAGTGACTCATTAGAACAATGTGCTTGCTAGGATGACCAGGGCAATGTATTATTACCAAATCAAATAACGTATGGCCACCGTGTATTTTAACCGATAACCACCCAGATTTTTTTTCTATTTTATATTAAAATCAAATATACATGCACCACAATAAATTGACCACCGTTCTGGTCATAGCAGTTATGACCATACGTCATCCATGAGTGAACTGTCAAAAAGCACTTGTAAATATACAAATTGAGCACCTCATTTGCCATTGTGAACACAATTTAACAACTACGCATTGTAACGGAACACCTATAATATAACATAGCACTTCCGAGCTTGTCAACACTGGCGTTGCCACCAACACCCACAGCAACAGCAGCCACAACCCTTCTCACGATATATAAAGGGGCACACATGAATGAAACCACGTACTTTCATCCATGGACACGTCCAGGGAGATCCCGCGGGAGCCAGTGGACATAGACAGCGTGGCCAGGGGCTGCCTAACACCCAAGGCCACCACGGAGGCCGGCAGGGTAGTCCGCTCTATCGGGGCGGCTGACGATTTTGTGGTGACGGCGGAAACCCAACCGCCCAGCCGGGCCCCGTCCGTCACGTCAGTTCCACTCGCGCCATCGTCCTCGTGTATTGTGAAAGCCTGAGACTCCTTCCGCTTGCATGCCACCGGCTTCAACGGCACCAGGTTCTCGTCAATGCCACTGAACACGGAGCTCGTCCCACCCTGCACAGTAAACCAACAGGGAGCGGAGATGTTAAATATGATTCCAGCAGGTACACACACACACTGGAGTTTCCTTTAGGTTGGAGAACTCCATTTGTTACAGAGATAAAACTGCCCGGTGTGTCACTTGGTCAGTACATTGGACATCCATTTTTTGCCACTTCCACTGCTGGATGGAGGCCTCCCGAGAACATGTGGGTCGTGGGGGTTATTTTTCCAGGGTTATGGTGCCTTCCAGAGTAGCACTCTGTAATTGGACAGAATGTGTCATCTGTAGATAATTATTGAGACTTTAAATGTATACACTTGCATCTAAACTGCATTTAGGACGTACATTTGCATCCTATTTAAAAGTTTTAATGTGTATACATTGGCTTTTAACATTATTTGTATCCAAATACAGCACATTTGCATTACGGTGAATTGGGAAACTTAGGAGTTACAAGTGCTTCCTTAAGGTGAACATTACTGCTGCTCGAAAAATGTTGTACCCAATCAGAGTTGAAGGCCAAGAGCCATTTTAATGGCCCATCCATATAACCATGAGTGCATGGCGTTGGGAAGGAATGGGCTTTTCGATTAGATGCAGCAATATTTTTTCAGAACAGCGTTGGGTGGACGGGTAAAGTGAGGGTAACTAAAATATTTACCAATCCATGTCCCAGAATAGAAACAAATTGAAATGGCTAACGAGCGGTGTGGACACCATGTAGTGACCATTTCCTCCGAAAAAGAGCTTTATAGCTCATCGGATTGCTTAAGTATAAATACATTCTGATTTTAAAAAAAAGTTGTAAACCTGGCACAATTTAAAATTATTTAGAAAACATGCAAAAGCGAGCTTTTGTTAACTATAATCCTTCATCCAGCAGTGGATTGAAACGGATGTAAAGTTGCCAATACAGTAATTAAGGTATTAACGGACAGGGGGGGGGGGTTACTTTACCACACTTCACCACAGTGAATTGTACAAAGGGCTATAAAATATAACATCGCATTGACCTTATTAAGATTTTGGACCAAAAACGCGTTCTCCGATGTAAAGGCAAAATATTTAATTGACACATCATTAACATTGATCGAAAAATGTATGCAACTTGGAGCGTGGAATTTATTTTCAAAATATATACCCGTACATTAAACGGTCATTAAAGGGCCACGTGAAGCCGCGTGTTATATAATAAGTAGCAACAGGAGCTGAACGGGGGGCAGTTAGTTGCACACCCAGCTGCATTTTTCAAAAAAATGCAGAAGCGCGAATTTTTTGGTTCCAAACGCTGGGGCGCAGTTTCTCGCCGTGTCAAACAATAACTTCCAACAACATGCAAAGAGACACTCTCTCCTCCCCCATCCCCACCGAACGGAGGTTGGCCGATTAAAGTCCGATATAAAAGCGAGCCCTGACAATTTAGAAATATAATTTATATTTGAATGGAGTTGGAGGTGCTGCTCCCCTCGCCCGCATTCTCAACCGCCACCGCCATCGGTGGCGGTAAACCAAAAAATTGCCTCGCTCACCAATCGATCTAAGCGCGGCTAATACGCGAACACAAACAAAAATATATAACACAACTCGTTTCAACGCTACTCTTGCTTTTATATACACACACAGCTCTTAAAAACGACGGTGTGTGTGTGTGCGTGGTCCCCGGGATTGACTCGTTGCCAAAAGAAATAGCGTTAAAGTAAAGATGAAATTGCGCGCGCCGTAAAATGGCGGGCAAGCGAGGAGCCCCAAACCGGCTGGACTTTGCCGACCGCGTAAAGAAACTCCCTCCCCAAAACATCACAAACGACGATGCACACAAAAAACACAAACACGCACACATCACACGGCAAACTGGGCAACAGCACGAGCAATCGTGAAGCCGTGCGATGAGACTTGGAACACCGGGGTGGTGGTGATGGTGGTGATGGGTTGCGCGCGTAGTCAATGAAGGTCAACCGCGGGACTAATAAAAAAAAGTGTTCGTGGGATCTCGATTCACGAAATAAGTTGAAAACTGGTTGGGCGGGAGAATCTAAAGGGTGAATTAAGGGGGGTCCCTGGAAGGGGTAGCAGAAGGGGGTTTTTGTAACCTGGGGATGGATGTAACGAATGTCTCGTGAGAAGCGGCGCGATTCAAAAGATACCGAAACAGCGGCTGCAACATTTGAATGTTGGGGGGGGGTGCCCCCCTCTATGAAGATAATTCAATACAAGAAGGGTTCCCTGGTATGTACCCCAGAGGGATAAAGGGATCCCCCCTGGAAGGGATACGTGGATCGGGGTGGAGGATGGGAGAGGGTTGAAGAGATCTCAGGCAGGCGCGAGGCCATGGTAGGCCCCTGGCCGAAAAGGGGGCGAGCGTAAGGGGGGAAAAAAAAGGTTCATCGGGACAGGCACAAAGGGATAACGAAGTGGTTTTGTTCGGTGGTTAACAGGATCAGAAAGCGATGGAAACATGCAACTCGCAGTAATAGGGGGAAATTAATCGGGAGTTTTAACACGGAGGGCGGTTTCGTAAGACGGTCCAGCAGAGCTCATGGAGGGGGGGGGGAGAAGGAACCTGGTTGCGTTAAAGAAGCCTCCCTTGTTAGAACGAAAGGCGAGGACAAGAGATGGATTCAGATATAATAGTCGCAGATAATGGTGGAAGAGGGTCCCACGAGGGAGGGATAAACAAAGCCAAAAGGAACCACGCAGCAGCGCGCAGGGGCTGGGATGGTGTGCGGCATGGCCACCTCGCACGCTCACACTACCCACCCCCCACAATGCTCACTCACCTGCGTCTTCTTGGCCGCTCGTAGAGGCTGTACCCGGCCCTGGGCATTGATGTTGTGGGAGTTGAAGGCGTTATTGTTCAGCATTCCTAGGGCCGTCCTCTTGCCGCCCATCACGGGAACGGACGAGCCCGATGGCCCGGTCAGGTTTTCGTTGGACGCTGCTCCACAATTCACGTTCTCCAGGTCGCTCTCGTCCAGCATCGTCCGTCGCCTCTTTAACAAATCCTCAAAACTAAACTTAGAATAAATCAACCACAGCAGTTAAGCGCTGCTGGTGCGAGCCAACGGCTCTTTACCGACCGAGCGCCCTCGTCCTTACAGCCTGAACCTCACTATATACAGTATTATAAATAAAATTGTGTTTCGTTTTAAACTCTCGATAATTTTCGCCTGCGAAAAGCTAAAACACTGCTGCTACGTGCTTCTTGCAACAGCACGGTCCAGTCGGGTGGCGGTGGCTGTCGGTTAAGCTGCTGCCGCTGCTGCCGTTGTTGCTGTTACGGATGCGAGCGACACACGCGCGGGGCGGCTCCAGGGGAAGTGACTGAACCCTCCTCGCCGCCCTGCCGATTCAAGTCTTCCCGCGACTATTGAATCCCGCCAATCGGCGGCCGTCCTCGCCGTCACGTGCCGCGCGATCCGAACCGCCTGGCCAATCGCGGCGCATCGGTTAACAGACGCGCGGCGTCATCGCAGGCTCCGCCAATGGGCGCGCCGACGCCCGCCCCCCCACTCCACCCTCCCCCCCCGCTACCCCCCCCCACCTACAACCACCCCCCAAAGACAAAGGTCCCCCGTATAGCGTGGACAGACTGTTGGGGCAAGTGCTGTTAGCGACCACCTATTAAGGCCGGCAAGGCACCACACCACCGCTACTCGCCCCACTACACCACCCACACCACCACCGCCGCTGGGTGAGACGTCTTCCAGAAGGGGAAGAGCGGCCCATGGAAAATTCAAGTTGTCAAAACAATACATTTAACGGATCATCATTTTCAGCAATAATCTCTCCACTGCTAGATGAAGGCCTCGCCAAGCAATTTAATGGATTGTCATCGTCAGCCATGATCTATCCACTGCCGATGTGTATGCCTCCCCAATAACTAAACTGAATCATCAGCTCTGATCTCTCCACTGCTCGATGAAGGCCTTTCAAAGCTCTTTTATGGATATTCATAATCAACTATGATCTATCCACTTTTAGATGAAGGCCTCATCAATAAATGTAATTAATCTTCATAATCAACCATGATCTATCCACTGCTCGATGAGGGCCTCATCAATAAATGTACTTGAAAACTGTTGTCCTTCCCCCACACCGCCGATTCGCACGGTTGGCTACATACGGTGAGGACAAGAGATGGAAGTTCAAAATACATTGGATCATCATCAGCCATGATCTATCCACTGCTATATAAAGACGGCCACCATCTCATGGGATTGCCATGCATCAATCCATCGAGTTCCTCCACAAGATGTTATTTCATTGCCCCATCTCCTAGGTGCACATCTTCACAGAAACGTCCCATTGCTTGGGCTGCCACTCCATTGTTATTATCGACAATCATCCATCACCCATGCTTTCAACGTGTCCTTCCCAAACACAGTTTGAATACTGATTAATCATTGATTTTTGGGTTAGGCCACATCATGAGCTAACCAAATTGTGTTATGAACCACCCACCAACCCGACACAGCCAAACAAATGTAAGTGTCACGTGCACAAGAGTTTTAACTTTCCAATGATTTTTAAAGCTTAAAATGTTGGTGTGAGCTTAAAATCTTAAAAGCTCACAGAAACATGTTCAATACACACGACGTTTCAGTTGGAAATCGAGCAAACATGAAAATATATAATCCAGGGCTCAACTGAGAATATTAGAAGTTTAGGTGTATGTTTATTATATTGCACACGATGAAATCTGCTCATGTGCTGGTGCGAGATAAATCGTGGCATCGTTAAACTGTGAGGAATTGTGACTTAGAGAAGTATTTATCCAGCAGTGCATAGATCATGGCTGATGATATACAAACTACATTTTGTACAAATCCAGCAAACACCTAATTTATATAATTACAAATGTATTAAAACCAAACAATTATTATTCTCAACAGTCCCAATGTTAAACATTATTACACAATGGAGAATAAAGCGCGCATTAACCTGTAATCAGTTGACTACTTTAGACGTACATACATATGTAAATCATCAATGCGCTTGTTCAATCTACATTTATTTTGTTCTGTAAGGTCACAGCAAATTAGTCACCCAATGCGCAGATCCCCTGTTGTGGGGGGACAGGGGGGCTTGGGGTAATGGCTATGTATTTAACAATGTATGTGTATGTATGTGTTTCTGTTTCAGGCTTGTGACGGTTGGACGCACATCCCAACTCTTTCCCTTCCTCCCCCTCCGCCAGCCAAAGGGGATTTGGGCTGCTGATCCGCAAAATGTGCAACGGTCGTTTCTATGGCCAGAGACAAGATTATGCCCCATCGTGGGAAAACTGTCAGCAAAAAAAAAATGTGTCAGTCCATTAGCTATCCGCCGTTTGTTGATTAAGGCCCTCGCCATCCGCTGCCATCTCGACACACGGGTTTCGCGACCCACGAAATTCATGTGACTCGTGCATACGCGCTGATCTTATCGCTCCATATTACCCACTTAGACGTTTTCTTCTTAGGGGTTTCCCTCATTTGGCTAATACTCCACAGTCTCGACAAACTGCCATGATCCCTTCCAGCGACTTGTCCTGCCCGAATTCCCCTTTCTTGTTAAGGAACATTTACGAGTACACTCTACGTCCAAGACTTTCCTATTGTATGCATTACTGTAGTTGAACACATTATCTGTCCGTATGTACATCTCATCCAGGCAGAATGCTATGGCTTGGTGGATTTATGAAAGCATCGTTGGATCTCAACGCTGCTTTAGAAGGGATGTGTGGCCAACAGTATTTATCATGAGTGTTTGGCTTAACTGAGGTCTCCCTGGCAACCAACTCGGGCGAGAAAATTGGCAAAAGGACGTCCACCAACAAGAGTCATAGCCCAGCTGTATAAAGTTAAATCAACACGAATATTAATGCCGCTGAAACGATTAACTTTTAAATTAAAACAAATGTAATTGATTCCTGATTACTTGGATTAATGGTAAAATGTGTATAGTTACATTTGTTGTTAACGTTCCTTTTCGATCATTTAATAATCCTGATACAATTTTGGCATGGGTTTAGAGCAGGGGTGGTGAACGTCCGGGCCGTATAGGGCCCGCGAAATCATTTGGTGTGGCCCTGCCAAGGCAACCACAGGCGGGACTCGAAATTCAATAAATCTAGGAGCAAACCTGGAAAAGCAGTTGCGAGTAGCAGCAACATCATTAATACCAGCTAACATCATCAATACCAGCTAACATCATCAATACCAGCTAACATCATCAATACCAGCTAACATCATCAATACCAGCTAACATCATCAACACCAGCTAACATCATCAATACCAGCTAACATCATCAATACCAGCTAACATCATCAATACCAGCTAACATCATCAATACCAGCTAACATCATCAATACCAGCTAACATCATCAATACCAGCTAACATCATCAATACTAGCCAACATCATCAATACCAGCTAACATCATCAATACCAGCTAACATCATCAATACCAGCTAACATCATCAATACCAGCTAACATCACCACACGCCTCACCAAAGAGAAGCAGTTCCAGCCATCGCATTAGGGGTGAGTTAATTAAATGTTTGACCAAATATAACTGGCTAATTTTTAAGTTGATAATTTTGTATGGCCCGCGAATGATGTTATAAATATCCAAATGGTCCTTGGCAGAAAAAAGGTTCCCCCCCCCCCCGCCCCTGGTTTAGAGGCATAAAAACATTTGTTTACTCAATTACGCCTCCAGGGGCATTGAGCAGGGTTGGTGTGTTGTGGCTTGTGGGCTTACGTGTATCTTGGTGACTGTGCTGGAGGTACAAGATGTTTATTTTAAGTGTTTAATGTTTAACCTTTTTGGGGGGCGCTAAAGTGTGAATACAAAATGGCGTTTGGGCCTTAGTGGAAGCATTTATTTTATTATATTCATGAGCGTTAATAACTTTATTTCTTTATGAAAGCGGAGGTTAATTAATGCACATTCTGTATATAGTAATCGGAAAGTGGTTAATACGTGTTATGCATGGTAATAGGAGAGGCCATTATTAGGGTAGGTCAATTTCATGTGAATAAACCTTTTTCAGTATTCATGGTTAAAATTTACAAAATGGGAGCCCTGCAGCCTCGGATTTATCATTGAGTTCCAATTCAGATAGGAGAAAAATATTTCTTTTCTGCATTTATGATAAGGTTTTAGTTGCCTTATTTATATACAGTATTCGTATAATTGTATTAAATAATTTCAGTATCATAAGTACCTATAGTTTAATGCATGTGTTACGATTACAGTGGTTGTAAATAGGACATATAGGCTGAAATATATATTGTTGAGGTATAATCATGGTGCTGACTCAGCAGGAGAGCGGGGGATTGAGCAGTGTTGGTGGTTTGTGGCGTTGTGGGCTGATGTGGTGGAGTCTCTCGGTCACCGTTGCAGAGATACGACAGCTCCTCTGAAGAGTGGATTTTCAATAAAGTATTGCCGTTGCAAGAAGACCCACTTGCACTTGTGAAGAAGCTGTCCAGTCATGTGGAGCTGACCACTTACCCCCCCCTTCCCTAGCGGCGCTGGCTTTAATAGGAGTTCACTTACAAACACGTTCCACCAACAGTCTGTTAAAGGCGAGGTGGGGGGCGATGTTTCTCTATATACCTGTGGGCCTCACTCAGGTTCAAATGAATTGGCGTGTTTAACAATCATCAGGAGTGTGCGGCGTGTCGTGTTGGGTCACCAGGATTGGAACTTGGGAAAACTCTTTCACATAGAGCAGGTTACCTCGAAGCAATAACATTTTAACGACAGCCAACGTGGGTCCTTACGCGCCTACAATTAAATAGCCCGTTGCCCCACGCTCACAAATTAGCCCCTAGGTAGAGAGAGAGGCCGATTTTTTTTCCACCTGTCCGCCTGTTCATGCGAAGCCAAGCAACGGTTAAGCCTGCCCGCATTTAACGACGCCAAACCGAACACTTAAGCCTATATTGTTCTGCACGTGCGCCAAGTGTTATATATCGGCGTCTGGGCTCCGAATTACACGTGAAAACACCCTCTCTTCCCAACCACTTAGACTCATGTGACATACCGAAATAATAGTTGTAGTTAATAAGGCAAAGGTGCAGTCCTGCAATTGCGCACTCGTGCGACTGCTGACGGAAGGGCTTCCACCAGAGGATGCTCTAGAGAACCCAAGTAGTTATGGTATTTGAACCATGCCGGCCAAACGTCTTGGAAGAGGTCAAAGTGCACACACAATTGATCATATTTGCGAATAGTTTGCACGATTTTGTAAATTCACTTCCGAATGAAGGCTTTCCAACTCTAGTTGCCATCTGACCTGGTTTCCCAGGATGATGTTTTCGAGGAAGCCTTTCTTGGCTTCCTCGAAAAC